TAGGGTTTCACTGGCGGGAAAGGGACTAGGGTTTTTCTAGGGTTTCATTACGGGGAAGGGAGAGGCGAGGGAAAGCGAGGATGACAACTCTCGGGGATAAAAACCGACCCCCTTTTTTTGTATAATTGCAAACAAGCTCCCTACATCATCTTTAATTGCCAAAACCTCCTCGCGAACTCAATATTAAGATCTCCCCAAATCATCATTTTCATTGCCAAAACATCCCTCTGTTAAAATTTCTTTTATATTTTCTAACTAGAGTTGGGTCAACCCTTAAACCAACATTAGAAATTAAGCTAATACCCTAGGGATAGACTATGATGAAGAATGTAGTGTTATATAAGCTTTGGGGTGAATTTTTCGGGCGGGAGTTGGGCTTTGTGGGTTTGGGGATCTAATGTTAAAGAAGAAGGGGAAATTGGGTTGTGGGTTATGAGTATAAACCCATCGTAAACCGAGTGGATAGAGTTTAAATGTTACGTTTCGTTTAGTATGCAGAAAAGAGTGGGAATGGAATGCAATTCTAACTTATCATTTATGTTTACTAAACATGATGTATTTTTAGATGCTGGAAATGGCATTCCCACATCTCCTTAATTCTCATTTAATATAGGAATTGTTTTTCTCAATAAGTTATCAAGGAATTGATATCCCCACTTAACATGAGAATGAAAATAATAATATAAATTACAGATATACCCTTTTTAAAGATATTCCCACTTAATTCTCTAATCACACCCAAATATGAGAATGAGAATAAGCATTCCATTCCCACATTAATTCCATTCCATTACCTTCATTTTGTTCCCACTTGGCTCCATTCCTGCGTACCAAACGTGGCGTTAGTGTTCAACGATAAAGGGGTATAACTGAAAGTTCACATGTTTTCGTTAAATTTAATTCAATTTAACTCTCATTAATAACCAGAGGGAGGTTTTGGCAATAATAATGATGATGGGGGGTGCTGGTGTTTGGTAAACATTGAGTTTAGGGAAAGGTTTCGTAAATTAAAGATGATTTTAAGGGTCTTATGTGCAATCCCCCTTTTCTTTACGTAGCTAGGATATCATAATCAGGTCCAACCTGGTATCGAGTTTGGATCCGATAATAAATAGATTGGGTTTTTTCGATAGGGGTCCTTTAAACCTTTGCTAATTGAAATTAGTCTCTAAATTAAATGATTGGAATCGGTATTTTGTTCCTCAAATATTTCTAGTTATTACCAATTAGTCCTTTCATTAGTTGTTTCTTCTAAATCACTAACTTGTAGGTTGGAGTAGTTGTTAACCACACATGGTGAGTTACATTTTCCTACTCTCAATTGGTTGTTGTCATCTCAAAAAGCAAAAACATTTAACAACCATTTTTAACGAAGTTTACAAACTAAAAATTTGGTGCAATGTTCCATGATCAAGTCTATTGCGGTGCGAGTACAACAGCAAAAAATGCAAGATGTGAGTTTATGGTTGGCCTTTCGTAGAAGATGGTTTGAGTTGATCACGATGTCTCTATGTTATTGGATATCTTTTAGCTTTTGATTGTAGCCAAACACTCTCTTTAATATAATTCATTTTCCAGCAAAAAAAAAGGGATTTACAATGTTTTAAAAAAGATTGATTTGATTTGGAGTAACTTAAAACATGGTGATATAATTGGAAATATAGTTAAAAAAATTAAGACGATATAATTGCGCACCGAAGCTCAATGCTACCCGTCGGCTATCTAACGCGACCCACGATCTTTATTCTCATTCGGAACAAACAGCGGTAAAAAAAAAAAGAAGAAACCCCATACCAAATCTGCCCCCATGCATCAAATTAAACGAGACAAAATTTATAATTAAAATTCATAATAAATCTGTCTAAAAAAAGGGGAGGGGGAATGTAATCGATCGATCATATCCTCTCATCCAATTTGTCAGCCTGAACAACAGGGTTGTTCTTCACTAGCAAATCTCTGGCAACGGCCTTAAAATCAAAACTGCAGCCGTGCTCCTCCGGGTATCGATGCTTCGAGCAGTACGTATACCCACAGCGACACTTGAATCCTAGTTTACCCAGACCGACCCTCCTACTGCAGCACCCGCACCTATCCTCGGACCTTCCGTCGACACCGGTCGACCGCGCTTCCAGAATATTGGAGCCCTGCGCCGACCTTGAGCCATCAACGGAAATCTTTTCACGAGCGTTTGGTTCGGTAGCTGAGGAAGCGCGTGGCTGCACTTGTTCGGCACAAGAGTTGCGGTAGCACTTGGAGCACAGATCTTGCGTCGCCGTTGGCGCACAAGCGCGGGCTTTCGCAACCTTGTTCTGATGTCATTGTTGCGCGCAACGGAAATTTCGGCAGCACTTCGACAGCACAACAGTAACAGAAATTAGGGTAAGTAATAAAAACGATAGTTTTTTTTTTACTCCAAAATTTTATCAAAGCGCAGACATCTGCACGCAACCATTTAAAACACTAACAGAAGCAACAGGTTAACTTTTACTGCAAATCGTCCAGAGAACAAAACTTCATGCATGGTTTTATTTACTATGACAAACAGGGATTTTTCCGAACTTTTCAGATAAGGGGAAAAAAAAGTTCCACGTATTTTATCTGGGAAATTAACACTATAAATTAAGCAGAGAGCACGAGCGAGGATTTGATTACCGAAACCCTTGAAAGCAAGTTGCGCGACGAACTGAAAGCAAGAGGAGAAGGATTTGATAAGGAGGGGAGGGGCGCATGAACTGGTTATTTATAAGATATCAGATGAAGATTCTAGAATCGGTTATGAAATCCTAAGGACAATCGATTTCGTCGTCGATCGAATTTGACTTGTTATTGGGTTTGAGTTGCTGACTTCATCATGAAGTCATACATGGACGAGGACGAGGATTGCGCGGCGCATAATTTTTTTTAATTTGGACAATTATCAGAAAAATTCCTTTACCTTCCAAAATATTAGCAACACCCCCTAACCAAAGTTTAGGGCTATTAGAAAACCCCTTTTAACTTTGAGATTTTATCAGAAAGCCCCCTAAAATATCAAAGTTAAAGGGGGTTTTCTGATATTTTGGAAGTTAAGGGGGGTTTCCGCTATTTGTCCAAAGTTAAAGGGTGCTTTCTGATATTTACCCTTTTTTCTATCAGGAAAGTGATTTGGCAATTAGTTGAAGTTGTTTAATTTATTTGGAAACAGATTACGTGGTTTATTTGTGACTATTAATAATTGGACTTTTTTTGCCTATTTGGAAAGTGATTTTACCCTTTTTTGCCTGTTTGGCAAAGGGTTAAGGAAAATGGGTTAAATAGAAGGATTAATGTACTTAGGGGCTGTTTGATTGCACACTTTTTTAGAAATTTTTTCTCAAAATATCTGATAATGACAATTTTGTAATTAAAAGTTTTCTATAGATTTCTGTAAATTGTGTTTGGTTTAACAAAAAAATTATAGAAACATTTTCTATAAAATATCAAAAACTACCAAATTTTACAAAAAATAATTTCCTCTCAAAATGAGAGTAAATCAACAGGAAATCTGACACCTTCCTTATTTAATCAACAAAACCCGTCTCATACCCAGTTTCTATAAAGTTATGAGTCATTTTCTTGTTTTGAACCAAACAAGCAATGTACAAAAAATAAGAAAATTGGTATTTTTTAACTTCTCAAAACGTTTCCTATAATTTTTTTAAGAAATACAAGGAAATCATATTTTGGGTGGAAAACATTTCCTATAATTTCTAGAAATTGAACCAAACGCCCCCTTAGCCCATTCAATAACCTGAAGGATTAAATTATTAACCCGTTAAATAAGTTTTATTTTGACTATTGTGATCAGTTTTAATGTTTGGGAATAACAATGATTTTGACTATTTTCTTTATAATTAGAAGAGTTAACTCTTAATCCTTCTAATGTTTGGGAATAACAATGATTTTGACTATTTTCTTTATAATTAGAAGAGTTAACTCTTAATCCTTCTAAATAGGAGTATTAGTAAACCTCTCATTTTGAGGGGTTAACTCATTTTAATCCTGTAGAGGAGTTAGCTTAACCCTTCTATATTTTTTTATGTTTGGCAAATTACGAATGGTTAACTCACTTTAACATTTGTATAGATTTTTTTTTTGTGTTTGGCAGGTTAAGAATGAGTTAAATCTACTTAACCGCTCACTTAACCCTTTGCCAAACGGTGCCGAAGGGTAAATTACACTAAATCCTCATAAACTTTGAATGTTTTGCAGTAAACCCCCACGAGCTTTCAAAATCGCACTAAACACTCAACAAATTTTGTAGAAAACCACCAACATCTTCCGGGTAAATTACACTAAACCCTCAATAACTTTCAAAATGCTATTTTCATGTTGTTTTTTGTCCTAATCAATGGGGGTTATCTGCAAAATGCGAAAACCTATTGGGGGTTTGCTGCAAAATAGAAAAGTTAATTCGGGTTTAGCGTGATTTTGAAAGTTCATGGGGGTTTAGTGCAAAACGCTGAATCTTCATGCGGGTTTAGTATAATTCACCCTAAATAGAATCATGCATGTTCCAGTGAAGCTTGACATATCAATAACCAGTACTGATAACTGAATAAGAGCTAGCTACATGTCAAAAACAAGGGACAGCGTGATAATAATCTCCCCAAATAAGACCACCCCAAATAATCATCAATAGATTTCGATGAACACTGTACATCAAAATGCTAAGGTTAAAGAAATTTCAAGCATACGCTATTTTTCCATCTCTCCCCTCTCATTGTACCCTCACAAATTCATAAATTGCCAAACGCCAGGAATTTAAAACTCTAGGTCCCTCCTCTTCTTCGGGTTCGCATCAGGGTTTCCTTTGTTCATCATCGCCACAAATTCTTGATAGTCAATATTTCCATCCTGTTAATAACAATAAACATCAGGGGAAAAAGAATATTAGCTCTAAACTTGGATTCAAAAGTTACAGGTTTAGTTTCAGAGATATTTACGTTGTCAGCATCAGCATCATCGATGATGTCCTTGATTTCTTTCCCATTATACAAGCCCTTCTCCTTAAGTGCTTGCTCAAGCTCCTCTCTTGTAATAAAGCTACAGGAAACAAAGCAAGATAAAGTTTTAAGGTGCTAGCTGATCAGAACCTGAAGCGAGATAAATTTTCGTTTTTCTTCTTTTTAACTAGAGAAATTGAAGAATCAAAACTAACCCGCTGTTATCCTTGTCGAAAAATTGGAATGCCGTATATAAATGCTCTTCTTTGTCCATTCTGTTCAGCTGCATAGTTGCAGTAATGAACTCATCATAGTCTATAGTCCCGTTACCATCAGCATCAGCCTGTGTCGGAAAAAAGAGAAGTTATGTGCAAATAAAAAAAGTTGTTTTCATGCATAAATATTTTGAATTTATTTCTCAGTGAAACTTACAGCTTCCATAAGTTGTTTAACTTCCGCCTCGGATAGCTTGGTTCCCTGCTCTGAAAGAAGACCTTGCTTGAGCTCCTCAAGGGTTATGGTACCACTGTTATCAGTGTCCATTCTCTTGAACATCTCCTTCAGACCTCTAATCTCTTCTTCTGATAAGCACCCTGCTATCACCTGTAAAAATGTAATTTGGTAATGATATTTGAGTCTTTTTATCAGTTCATCTAACACCATTATGGGGGTCAGTTCACAAAATTGAAAATGTTTGGAAGGTTTCTTGAAACACCCTACACTTAAGGGGGTGAGGTAATATGTTTAAAGTTTAAGGGGTCATCTCAGAATCGGCGGCCAAAGTTGGGGGGATTGTGAAATTTACCCCTGAAATTTATGGAAGCCTATACATAATTGATGGTTTAAATTAATGTTACCCTCAAAGCAGCTTTCTTAAACTGGTTCATTGCCCTGAATTGTTTGAGCTTGCCGAGGACAGCATTGTCAAGAGGAACATCAGGTGCTTCTCCATCTTCTTTGATCCATGGATGATCTGAAACACGTGCATCGAAATTTTATAGCATACACCATATTTTTATCGAGGAATTAAATGGAGATGTCGTCAAATAAGTTCACAAATAAACTTTTACAAGCAATTTCTGCTCTTCCATAACTTCTGATGATCAGAGCTTCAAATATAGCATCAAAATTTACAAATCCTCGATAATTATAGGTAGCTTTTGATTTATTGAAGTTTGTTGGGGAAAAAAATTTGAAAAATATGATGAAGAAAATAATACTCACTGAGGACTTGGAAAGCTGTCAGTCTTTTCTGAGGATCTTTGCATAGCATCTTTTTGACAAGGTCCTTTGCACCATCTGAGATATGTGGCCATGGGTCACTACTCAAATCGATTGGTCCCTCGAGAATTGCTTTGAATATTCCATGCTCCGACTCTAAATGAAGGACACATACATACAGATTATTCCGCATATAGTTAAGGTTCTAAAAGAAATAGCAAAAATATCGCGATGAAAATTCAACCTGCCCAAAAGGGAGGAGTTCCACATAGAAGAATATATAGCATCACCCCTATGCTCCATATATCTACTTCTGGCCCGTATTTTTTCTTTAGGACTTCTGGTGCAATGTAATAGGCACTGCCGACGATGTCTCTGAAAATCTCACCTGTTGTAGAGTGACCAAGAAAATAATGAAAATACGATAGCTAAGCCAGGAAAATAATTTAACTAAAGAACATCCAACTCAGTACGCACAATATTCGTCATGCACTGGTGATTGCAAATGTTTCTTATTAAGATTGGTAGAATTAGCAGGACAGGATTTTATTGTCTAAAACATGGAATGTATCTATTCTCAACCACATCGTTGAAAATAATAGTATGATTATTATTAGCAAAATAGAGTATGAATTGAAATATGTGGTGGGTTATGATTGATGATCGATGCATGTTACGTCTTCATAAAAGATCAAGTCACAACTATATTTAAATGTATGCCACCTTATGTTATGATGCATCAAAGGCATCTAGATATCTGAATAGAACTCAAAATGAATGCAGGGATCCTGCTGCAATAATTTTTTGGAAGTAAAGGGAGTAGCATAGAAGAAACAACTCATATGGATATGAATGCTCAGAATGTGAAAAGAAAACTTACAAAATTAAAGAAGATATTTGAATGCTATAAAATAAAAAATCTCTACAGTTTGTTTGAAGGAGACACAGAATGTCCCCGTTGGTGATATTGATGTTTCGAGTGGATAAAATGAGAAATCAGTACTCGAAAAACAGAATTTAAGCTGAGAAAATGAGAAATGGTACTCACAATATGCACAAAATATTGCAAATGTTTCGGGTGGATAAAATCAGTACGACACAACTTTCTTTATTGAAGGCGGAGAATATTTCCATAGGCAATCACAATGTTGGAATTAACAATATGAATCAAAATAAGATGGTTAATGATCAATGCACAAGTCTTCATAAAAGATGATGCTATGATCTGCGTGAAAAAAAAAGCTACAATCACTGAGATCAATGGTATGAATAAAAAAAATTCAATTTTTTTCTCTCCATAAAATAAGTGACAATGCTACAAAAACCAGTCACTTACCTTGTTTAAAGAAGACAGAGAGTCCAAAGTCAGTGGCTTTCAAAGGAGCATCCTCCTCCTTATTCAACAACAAGAAATTCTCAGGCTTAAGATCCCTATGAATAACCCCCATCGAATGACACGTGTGGACGATCTGCACGATAGTCCTTAGCAGCGACGCAGCCGCCCTCTCAGTGTACTGCCCCTTGGATATAATCCTATCAAACAACTCCCCTCCAGCACAAAGCTCCATGACAAGGTGCACGGAGTGCTTATCCTCGAAAACCTCCTTAAGTTCAACAATGTTAGGCTGGCCAGCCAAATGGTACATAATCTGGACTTCCCTCCGAACATCCTCGATGTCCTCCTTGTTGTGGAGTTTGCGCTTGGAGAGGGTCTTGCAGGCGAACTGCTGGCCGGTGGACTTGAGGGTGCAGAGGTGGGTGACGCCAAATTGGCCTCGGCCGAGCTCTTTCCCCATGGTGTAGGTGGACTTGACGTCCTCCATGGGTTTGCCGAGGACGGGGGCCGATGGGGACGGGCTATGAGGGTTTGGAGGGGGAGGTGGAAGGGGGAGGGGTTGGAGGGGGAGGTTTGCTGGTGTTGGAGGGGGAGGCGGTTGGGGTTGCTGTTGTTGTTGTCGCCGCCGCCGGGGGTCGGGGAGGTCTGGTCGCCTTTTCGTTGGAGAAGCAATTCCCCATTCGTGAGAATGGGGGGGTTGAGGGGGCAGAGAGAGAGGGGGAGGGAATTAATTAGAGAGGGGAGAATTGGACTGGTTGGAGGGGTGAAAGAGAGAGAAGAAGGAGAGGGTTGGGTGTAAAAGAGAACAAAGGGGAAGGAGGGAAGAGTGAGAGAGAAAAAAAAGGTTTGAGCTTTGGATGGAGGGGAGAGGCGAAAAGAGAGAATGGCGGAGGCCAAACGATTCTTTTTTTTAAAAAAAAAGGAAAGGCGGAGGCTGAGGGAACGCAGTGCGTGTCCGCGATATGGGGCAGGTTTTCTATTTTGGTCAAGGTGAAGTATTTTGAGAAACAAATCTTTGGAGAGTTTATTGGGCTTTTTATAGTTGTTACACGAAAATAACAATGACAGTCCTAAGTTTGAACTTTAACTTCTCAAGAAAATTAAATTTAGCCCTTAGCAAATCAGGAAAGAATCAATCTGTAGAATTCTGGTGTAAAAATAGTTCTAATTTGAGCATGATATGGGCCTAAAATTGAAGGCATATATATATATATATTAATATAATATATATATATATATATATATATATATATATAATTATATATATATATATATATATATATTACTATGTATATAATATCAATTTCCGTCTCAACGTTTGGTCACCGTTTAACCAAACTTAAAAACATCTAGGGAGCAGGCAGAACTCTACGGAACTTCGATTTGAGGCTCCACTAACCCCATTTACCACACTGATTGGTTGCCCATTCTCACTCGCGCTAGCGAGGGAAAATAATAATAATAATAAATGAATATAATATAATATAATAATAAGAAAGAAAGAACCCTAGCCGTTCGGGATCGAGATCGCCATGGCGCGAGCTCTAAGGGCTTGCTCTCGTCGGCCATGGCCGCTCGACTCCGCCTCCCTGGCTTCCTCTGAGCGAATCTGGAGGGAGACGCTCTCTTCGCGCTCCGAAAGAGCTTGTCGGATCCGGATAACGTGCTGCAGAGTTGGGACCCGACTCTCGTTAATCCTTGCACTTGGTTCCATATCACTTGCAATCAGGACAATCGCGTCACTAGATTGTATGTTCCCTCTCTTTGATTTTTTTTTTTTGGGGAAAAAGCCCTAAACTTTTATGATTTTTTGTTGACTGACTGTGGATTGTTTGTTACTTCACTCGCAATTACTTGCGGTATATTTCTTGTGACGCCGGTGACTGATCGATGCTGATCTTAATACTTGATCCTTTTGTTTATTTGTGAGATTGGCTCTTGTTAGATCAAAAGGGAAGCGTAAGGTCGTTGGGAAGTGGGCATTTGTGGATCTTGAAGCAGTTAGTGTTACTGGAGAGTTTTCTATAGTGCTGATACGCTCAGTATATGTAGGTAAATAAAATCTCAAAATCAAAGAGCTCTGAGTAACAGTGAAAAATGTATGTTGGTGTGCACCAACAGACACTCGGGAGAGATCTCGGACAGGTTTTGGAGAATTATCTTCTTGGTCTGATACAAGATGGGGTTCTATTAATTGACAGGCTGGGACTAGAAGTAGAAAACAGGCTGGGAATATAAATAGAGAACAGGCTGAGAATAGAAGTGGAAAAATAACTAGAGTTGTTTTCTGTGTATTATCTCAAGTTGTTGCTGTAGAGTCTATATATAGATCATAGTCCAGCTCAAAGCTTACTAACCCATTGATGAGGGTAGACCAAAGGCATGCTAGACCAATTACAAGCAATGATGACTAACCATGTTCACTAGTCTATTATGATGAAGACCAAGGGTTTGTGTCAGTTCAGTTGGTACATCCACTCCACTCCACTCCACAGAAACCAATATACGATTATCTCTAATCACTTGGACGAACCAACATTCACGAAGTAGGCTGTAAGTCAGGCTTCAAAGCAACCCACAAGATTGCTAATGTGATGTAACCAGTTGCTAAGTGCGAAGCGCACCAACAAAGCAAAACATTTGATCCCAGTTGATTAGTCTCAATCCAAGGTCCAAGGCTTCACCCCACAGCCCTAGGCCCTAGCTCCAATTCTAGTCTAGCCCAACTATAATATCTTGCAAACCAGTGATTTTTTTGGACCAATATATTAAAAATCCAAACTTCAAATTGATTTCATGTGAAACATATTAGAAAAAATAATTACATAGTTAAGAGTATAATAACACAGAGAACATAAATATTCACACATGGAAAAGGTTTTGTAAATATGACCTAGTGATACTTGAGAGATCCTCTTTACTACCACCTTTAAATTGGCCTATTCTGATTGCAGGACTGCTCAAGCAAGTGAAACTTCCAACTGAAACTAGGGTAGTTTAAATAAAAGAAGCGAATCCTTCCTCTAATCTTCTTATCCTCTTTGCCCACATGTTAAGATCCCAAAATAACGAAGTGGTTAAACTATTATTGTGTTGAGTTGGGAGATTGTACAATTTTCACCTCATGTGATGGCTTATTCCTACATTTTAACTTGGATGCAGTTTATGCTCATCATAGAGTCCACATAAGGGTTCAAGTATATATGAATGTGCAACATTTTTATTATAGATAATATACTTTTGTGTTAGTTTCTTAGAATCTATGAGCATCTTTTCCGATGATTGCTCAATCCTCTTTTGATTTTTCTTTGTACATTTTTGATTTTGTTTGCGAGGAAACACATTTCTGAACATAAACTATTATGCATCTCTGAGTTTGTGAATGATCTGTTTATTTATAATTTGATATTGCTTTCTGCAGGGACCTTGGAAATCTAAATTTGTCAGGTCATCTTGTCCCTGAACTTGGAAACCTTGAGCACTTGCAGTATCTGTAAGTGTCTTCTTGCTTTTCTTATCCACCGTATGCTAGCTCTGGGAATAAATCTCATCTTTTTTTCTTATGAGAATTAGTTAGATATCAAAATATTATTTCTCTGGAAAATGTTTTAGTAAATGTTGTTATATTCTTATATTTCTTTAAAGATTGTTCTTTGATGTACTGGCGGACCCTACCATGAGTAAATTAACTGGTATGGAATGTGACCTCATTAGAGGGCTAACAGTGATGTTAGTGATGAAGGATTTAACCTGTTGGTCACTGGTAACAGACTGAACTTGTATTTTAGTTAAATTTGATTGTCTTACCAAGCTCCAGGAGAGAGGTGTACTTAAGATTCTAAGAAAAAGGGGAGAGCGTTAGGCAAAGAGCCTTCGTCAATATAAGTTAGTAAGAATTCAAGAGTAGCGAGCAATGCAAACAGAATGAAATTGTAGTATGATATACCTTTGTTCTTGACTAGATGATGATTGATTGAGTGGTGGATTCATCAATTATGTGCTATCTCCAACCGGGTCATATAAGCAACCAACATCCAAGTGTTTGTGCTTGCACAATTAATTACCCCTAGTGTGGTGTTTTTATTATCAGTTATTAGAAGGGTTATCACAAGGGTATGAAGGAATGATAGGTCATTGACTCAGGGCATGTTTGTCAATTGGTCAAACTGATTTATAAGCCACTTGCAACTTGTTTGCAACCGACTTATTTTGGCTTATAAGCCCAAAAAAAATAAGCTCCCGTAACCCAGCTAATTTTTTGGTGGCTTATAAGCCTTATAGTTTGACCAAGTAAATGTCAAGTTTACCACTCAACATTTAATATAATTTCAATATTAAATTTAGAGCCATGTCCAGTTTGGTCATTTCGACAACAATGATGGATTATAGTCCACCAATTTGCTAAACACTCTGCCATTGGAAGCGGCTTATAATCCATTTTTTTACCAAACACTTTGGCTTATAATCCACTTCCCTTATAATTCACTTGTGAATTATAAGCCAAGTGCCCGAATATGCCCTCATTTATATAGCGTCTTTGTTGTTGTTGTTTTTTCCCTGCTACAAAAGTATCTGCGAATGTATCAGGTCTATGGCCATCAGTTAAATGTCTTTATCTTGTAAGATAAAATAGATTATGTGCAAATCTGAAGGACCATTGTACTAATCTACTTGGTTCATTGGATGGTATAAGCAGGCCTGATGACCTGTTTTAGCTCAAATGAGGGCTTCCCAAGGTGTCACCTAGGATGCTTCATTATTTTATTCTTTTCTCACATTTCCTCCTTTGGACACATGGCTTTAATTGAAGTTTGAGTTTATTGATCAATTAGTTATCAGATACCTAAGAGCTGTCATGGACCGAGCCCAAGATGCACGTGCTCCTCTGTGATTTTGCTGCAGCTCCTACTCAGGGGTACAAGCTGTGATTAATTCTTGAGATCATCTGCCATCAGAACTATCGTACTACATTCATGCCTTTTACAGTTGAGACTAAGAAATGATGGTCCGCTTACTATTTGTTCACTCCGTTCCTGCTTTGCCCCTCTTTGTGGCATCTTAGACAAATGAGCGAAGTCCATGTCAGATTTGTAAAAGTGGGACACTCATTGAAACTTTTATCCTGAACATTCCAGAATTTTTGTTCTGTTTGGACGGCAAAAGCTTGAGCAAAGTCCTAGATACTTGGTGACACTTTGGTGGTGTTTAGATAGACAGCTTGTTCCTAAAGAGGTAGCCGAATTCTCCGTTGCTCTCTTGCTTGAGTACCAAATATGCCGCCGCGGGGTGGGGGGGGTGCGTAAGGTGGTGGTAATTTGGAATCGGGAAATTTGTAGTAACAGAACAGTTTTTCCCCCATTCTGCATGATTTAACTATTTTCTTATGACGTGCTTTCTTTTTTATTGTTCTAATGGTATAATTTTAAATCTAGTAGTTGTAATTGTATGCCTAAAACTTATTTTCTTTTCAACTACTTGTACAGGGAGTTATACAAAAATAACCTTCAAGGTGTAATCCCATCAGAGCTTGGTAACTTAGAGAGCTTGATAAGCTTGGACTTGTACAACAACAATATCTCTGGGACTATCCCTCCATCGTTTGGAAGACTAAAATCTCTAGTATTTTTGTGAGTTTATTTATTCTTATGTTGTAGGAGATAACTATTTATGGCCCGTCCCCTACATTGGCAAGGTTACAATAGTTCTCAAGATGATTTCTGTCCTTCCACATTGTAAAAAGCAAACTGTATTTTCCCTAGATTTGGTTTTTCCTGAGTTTATTTACACAGTTTTAGTTGTCGGGCACATTTGTGATATATGCATGAAGATATTATCCTATCTTTTGGATCACAACCTTCTGCTAAATTATGTTTGCCTATCTGTAGGCGGCTTAACAACAACCAGATAACTGGTCAAATCCCAAGAGAGCTTGTTGGAATTTCTAGCCTGAAAGTTGTGTATGTGCAATACTTTTGGTTTTCGTAATTTTCAAGTTTTCCGAAGCAGTAGCTATTTTTATATCAGTTAATCACACATTTTGTTAATGCTTCTAGAGACGTCTCTAGCAACAATCTTTGTGGGACAGTTCCTTCTTCTGGACCTTTTGCACACATTCCCTTGAAGAAGTAAGCTCTCACTCTCATTTCATCATATGTTTGTATCATTTCAAATTTTCTATTCTACTCTGAAATTCTACCTATGAACTAGAACTTGACAAGCAACTTCAGAATCAGTACACACATGGCACATTTCAATGTAGTTACTTCATCCCTGATTCAATACTTTCCCGAATTCCAGTTGCACCTGTATTGAAATAGAACTGTTCAGTGTATTTTGTGGCTTTGCAGTTTAATTACAATATACATGGAATATTATTGATGAACTTTTGTGTCGAATCACTAAATGTGTAGGCTGTGTGTGTGATGCAATTTTCAAATTGATATCACAAGAAAGTAATCCCCTACCTCTTGTATTACTGTGGGTATAAAGTAACATAATCCGGAGATTTTAATGAACCATGAACCAAATAATTCCATCATCTTTGTATTTTCTTATCTTACACTGGTATCTGCACGGAAACTATGGATATCTTATTACGTCTGATTTTTCTAAGGTACAGTTTTTTAACATATGGGCTACAGAAAGGTCTGTGCATGCAATATGTATCCTCTGAATGGACGAGTGCATGTGATGTCTGCTTTGGAAAATCTTCTCCATCCAGTATCCTTCCATCATAGACCACCATAGGCCTTTTCTCTCTCATCTAGGCTGTAAGATTTTTGATCTAGATGTTGACCGTAGTAAGTTACAACTTAAGAACAAAGATCCAGTGACCTTTGCATGAGCGGTGAGTTGAACCACCACAGTTGATGAGCTCCTTTCATCATGGACGTGTTTCTTTGAGTGTTGCAAATTTATAGATTTGACATCCTTATACAAGGTGTTTGTGGAAGATGGATGAGGACTCAGGTTCGTCCTATGCGATGAGGTTAGGTTGTGATAATATGTAAGGTGGGCTAAGCCATTTTTAATGCGAGGCTAGACTTTGTTTCAGCTGTTGTGTGAATTTGTCCGGTGCGTCCAATCAACTTACTGAGCAAGAGGACAAAGCAACAATGATGCATATGCTTTAGTTTGTCACGCTATTTTTTAAAAGGAAACGTGCAATTCAGACTGCATAGCATTTCCAGTGCATGCCAAAAACTTTCATTTAATTTTACCTCTTGCGCATAGTGTTCTCAGGATTCATTATATTTTTCAGCCCGTCATCTTTAGCATAAATTGCTCAAGCTTAACCTTTCCCATTCAGCATGGACGCAATTTCGCATAATATGCAGTGAAGATCAACGATTGACTCAACTTTTTAATCCTCTGTCCTATTTATCAGACGATGATCTTCCATGTGAACCTTAGCTATGATGCACCATGATTTGATGTCTTAACCATCTTTTCTACTATGACTTTGACCTTAACAAATAGAAATCTATGGTTGAGTGCCGCTATGATTTTCATCATATTCTTTGTAGAATAGTATGGTTTTGATGGCTATGCCTGTACTACATTCTTTTATTATAGACTACATGGCTATGTTCTATGTTTTTATATTCTTCTACTATTGCTTTGTTGTATAATTTTGTTCTTCTCACTCGTCTTCATCACCTACAGCTTTGAGAACAATCCTCGACTTGTAGGCCCAGAGCTGCAGGGACTCGCAACATATGATACAAACTGCTAGATGGTGATGAGGACGCGAGTCACAGGAGATGACTCAACTCTTATTTCGAACTTAAAATCTGCATATTGTAAACCAACCTATTGGTATTATTGAACTGTATTTGAAGCTCATGAATGGGCTCTCTCTATGTTGCATGTAAGATAGGTTGGAGGCTTCCTCCTGCTGCTCTGGGTGTCGATAAAATTAAGAAAAATTCTTTAAGGACCCAAAATATGGGACCAATAAAGGGGACAAGTGAGGTGTCCTCCTCTTATTGGATAATGAGTTGGTCATCATTAATGATGGCCAACTCATTATCCAATAAGAGGGGGACATCTCACTTGTCCTCTTTATTGGTCCCATATTTTGGGTCACTGTAGCAAAGCTCTAAAATTAAATGTCAAAGCCGAATGCATATATCTGGGAAATTCCTCTCGCTGTTATTTTTTCTTTCTACTTTTAAATTTGTGAGGCAGGAGACCGTTATTATTAGGGTAAATTGCACAAAACTATAATCAAAATTGGGATGTGTTTTGCACGAAATTATCATAATAAATTTGCACTAATTCCTCCCTAGATTTCAAAGAGTTGCATTTATCGCTCTCTTAACTTTTTTTCTTCTCATAGTGTTACCTTTTCGAGTTTTCAGCCAAAAGATTTACTGATGTCAAGCCACTAGCTAAATCTTATAGGGTGTTTCTGCCAAAACTAAATGAATCAAGTATGCAATTATGGATTTGCCGGGGGAATACTGGCGATTATGAAGGTCGGTTGGGTAAACATGCAATTATGGAGGATTTGGTGGGCATGTTGGCAAAGTACGAAGATGTTTAAAGCGGTAAAATATGTAATTATGACTTGATTATTTTGTTCATCTGCGTGTATTAATTGTTGGTTTCATTCGATAAACAAAAAAAAAAGCATGAGGTTGCGGCAATACAAATGGATGTCATATACATTCAATGCCCCCTCTATTTTTAAAAAGTTCGTTCATCACCCTAATCGATCTCGATCTCGATCTCGATTAGGGTTTTTTGTTGTGGAGATGGATGAGGACGAAGTTTAGAAAAAGGAATCTGGGCGTTTTGCTCGAAGTTGGGGTTGAGGTGAGGAAATTTTCGATCTTGTGAGGTTAGGGTTTTCGATCTCGCAGGTTTTGGGCTTGGGAAGAATTTGGCCGGTGGTGGAGGATCACGGCATTGATGAGGCGGTGCCCTAGAGTTGCGTTTTCCCCCGCAGGGGTAAGTTTCCTCAAAAGTTTGATTTCATTTCTGGAGGCGAAATTTCTAGCTATTTGTCCCCTCTAATTAACTGTAAAAATCTTTTTTTGTTTCCATTTTCCAGCTTTTTTTTTTTGGGGCAAGGTTTGTCGTGTACTGGTACAAGGTACGCATGTTTCCTGCCTTCTTTGCTCAGTTTCCATCCCAGAAATGATATTTTCTTCTTTATTCTGTACATATGGTATGCTCTCCTTTTGAAAAAAATTGGCGAAGTATTCAGTTCTCTGGATTTATCCCACTGCAAACTGCAGTGGCTTATGAAATAGTGTGCAAGTCTCTCCAGACAATTCTGACTCCTGCATTTAAATCTAGATTCTGACTTGAGGGAACGCATTACTTCTCAGAGTAAATAATCGAGCTTTTGTTTACATGAATACCTAAATTATTGAGCTTTTGCTTACATGAATACCATGAACGCATTACTTCTGTAGAAACTAGAAGGCCTCCTTTGTTCTTGCTACATTTTCGTCTGACGTTTGTGAAGCTAATAAGTTGCATAGTCCTGTTTAGATTATGATGTACAAGAGATGAAACTAGCTTGTAAAATCAAGCCGAAGAAAAGTTAATTTTTAATTTTACGAGGTATGGTTTTCCCTAATTCTCCAATTGTTGATGGTAATAAGAAAGTAAGGAAAATGTATCCAATTGAAATGACTAAACTAGGCACTCACTTTGTTTAAAAGCTATATTTAAACTTCCTAAGTTTATCTAAGTAAATTATTGAGCATTGATTATAAGTTGCCTTCTAAGTTTTTGTATAAGTTGGCTTCCATGTTTTTCCAAAATGCTCTTCCTTCTTAAAGTTCTGGCGCTTGAGTATGTGAATGGTAGCCAGCAATCAGGTTCTCTGCTGCCTTTTGGCTGTATTTGAGCTCGTTTGTTGCAGGTTTGACTGGTTATGATTTCAGTTTCTTTGTCTCTGTTTGGTCTATCTTAAGTGATCTGCTTTCTGCATTGTTGGCTCTGTTTGAGCTCGTTTCTTGCAGGTTTTCTTCTGTTTGAGCTGAGGTTTTTTGTTACGTTTTTTGCTCTGTTTGAGCTTGTAAATGCAGGTTCTGGTCTGCTTGAGCTCAGGTGTTTTGCAGTTTTTTAGCTCTATTTGAGCTCAGTTTTTTTACTGCATTTTTGGCTCTGTTTGAGCTCAGTTTTTTCCCTGCATTTTTTGGCTCTGTTTGAGCTCAGTATTTTTACTCCTTTTTTTGGGCTCTGTTTGAGCTCAGTTTTTTTACTACTTTTCTGGCTCTGTTTGAGCTCAGTTTTTTGTTGCATTTTTTGGCTCTGTTTGAGCACACATGTTGCAGGTTTTGCTCTGTTTGAGTGTGCTGGTTGCATTTTTGGCTCTGTTTGAGCTCATTTGTTTTGCTGCATTTTTCGCTCTGTTTGAGAGACATGTTGCAGGTTTTGCTTTGTTTGAGCTTGTTGGATGCATTTTGGCTCTGTTTGAGCTGGGTTCTTGTTGGTTTTGCTCTGTTTGAGCTCGTTTGTTGAATATTTTCCTCTGTTTGAGTTTATTTGTTGAAAGTTATGCTCTGTTCGAGCATTTGATGATTTTGCTCTGTTTGAGCTTATTTGTTGAAAGTTATGCTCTGTTTGAGCTTGATTATTGTAGCTTGTGCTCTGTTTGAGCTTATTTGTTCAATTGTGCTCTGTTTGAGCTTGATTATTACACGTTGTGCTCTGTTTGAGTGTATTGTGCTCTGTTCGAGCATTTGACAGTTGTGCTCTGTTTGAGCTTGATTATTACAGATTGTCATCTGTTTGAGCTTTTGAAAGTTGTGCTCTGTTTGAGCTTGATTATTATAGGTTGTGCTCTGTTTGAGCTTAATTGTTGAAAGTTGTTGTCTGTTTGAGCTTTACAGGTTTGTGCTCTGTTTGAGCTTGTTGGAGGTTTTGCTCTGTTTGAGCTTTGTTTTCTGTCGTTTGCTCTTTCTGAGCTTGTTGTTTGCATTTCTGGGCTCTGTCTGGGCTGGTTTACTGTTTGTTTGCTCCATTTTAGCTTGTTTGCTGTTGGTTATGCTCTGTTTGAGCTTGCTTGTTGTAGATTTTGCTCTTTTTAGCTCATTTGTTGTGGTTTTTTTTCTCTGTCTGGGCTAGATTTATTTGTTTCTTTTATGGTTGAGGTTTCATACAGTTTGAGCTTGTTGGTTGCATTTCTGGCTCCATTTCAGCACGACTGTCTCAGTTTTTTGCTCTGTTTGAGCTCCTTTGTTGTTGGTTTTGCTCTGTTTGAGCTTGTTTGTTGAAGGTTTTGCTCTGTTTGAGCGCATTTTTTGTCTGTTTTGTTCTATTTGAGCTCTTTTTGTTGTAGATTTTGCTCCGTTTGAGCTTGTTTGCTAGTGGTTTTGCTCTGATCTTTTGTTGCAATTTTGGCTTTGTTTGAGTTCTTATGCCACAGGTTTTGTTCTGTTTGAGCTTGTTGGTTGCATTTTTGGCTCTGTTTGAGCTTTGAGCTCGTCTGTGTTCGCGGTGAAAGTTGCCTTCATTGAATTCATTGTTATCTCAAGTAATTGCTTTTTGGTTACAAAAGATCCGGTCTTTTTTAGATCCGGTTACAACGAAATCAAAGAAAAAGATTACAACTTTCCTTTCGAACGAATCACGAGCTCCTGTTTTGCGGTCGCTCGCTTGTGTGGGTTCTTTGCCAACGCCGGGGTTAATCCATAGACCACCGCGCGATCTAGATCCGGTCGGATCTACACGATTCGACGGGTATTATTTCGCGAAGGAAATAATAGCCGGGGGGATTAATTCACCAAGGAAATAATCGCCCTTAGTTCTCGGGATCAAAGGCCAAGCTTTGATCCGGAGTATGATCTCGTGTAGATCTCAGATCGGGTCGGCCACCCATGGGTGGCTCGTCTTTGGCCGAGCCCCCCCTTAGGCGTTGGGTTTTGTTGTTTTGTCCGGTTTTGTGGTTGATTCGGACTCTGATTTGTTGATCTGATTTGGCAGTAGATCCGATTCCTGATTTGGCAGTAAATCCACTTCTGAGTTCGAGTCTGAAACTGATCTTGATTCGATCGTGATTCGTCCGAGTCTGCCCTTGGTTGGATGACTCGTTGACTCTTCGAACCCTTGGCTTGATTCCGCACGCGAGTTGATGTATTCCGTTGCTTGCGTGCGATTCGTTAACCTCATCGCCTCGTTAATCTGCTTCGTTGCGTGTCACTTGGCTTCGGCGTTGTGGACTGACGCTCGTGTTTGGATATGTCGCCCGATGGTTCGTCGGTTTGTGCCGAGCTGTGCTAAGGGACCTATAAGCAATTTTATACGCCTACAGATACCCCCTCCAAAGTATTTCAGCCTCGTTCTTTTATAGAAGAGTCTGGAATACTTTGGATATGATTGTCCCAACCTTCAGTCGGTGTAACGGGACCTTGGAATGACTTCTGTTCTTGATTCCTTCAATCCTTCAGGCTATTCGGTGCTTTGTCGAATGTCTGTAAGGTTTTCGGTGCTGCATTTATTGTCTGACCGTTGTCGGAAATTTGAACTTGAAGTCGATTCCAGATTTTTTTTGATCTTTTAGCTCGTGTTTGCTGGTTCAACATAGAACTGACCATCGATTGTTGGCTCTGAGTTCTCATTTGCGACGCATTGTCTGGCGTGGTGTTGTTGAGTTATCCTTAAGAATTTGGCGTAGTGTTGTTGAGTTATCCTTAAGAATGAAAATATTCTCCAGGAACTTCTCAACCAACAATAGGGAATAGTTTATACTCGTATACCTTATTGGAGTATTAAGAAGCAGTTTATACTCGTATACTTTTCGGAGTATTGATTCCTTCGTTGCAACGCATTGATCGGCGTTGACCTAGGGTTACGCGTTGTCCGGCGTTGATCTTAGGGTTTTGAACGTCGTACGTTGACTTTTTGATCGTAACGCGTTGACTGACGTTGACCTAGGGTTACGCGTTGATCGGCGTTGACCCTAGGGTTTCGAATGTCGTTGGATGCTCAAGTCCTACCCGGCGACACGTGTTAGGTGTTGACTTTAGGATTTTTGGCTAACCCCCAGCCTTCAACGGATTTGATTAGTCTTTACCGACTACCGTTTGAGTCGGGCTAGCATGCGGATTATCTAAATCCGTTCCGCATGTAACGTTGTGCTAAGAGAGTGAATTCTCTGAGACTCGCTGCTACGACTTCGAATACGTAGACTTCGCCATTGTTATGGGAATAGGCTACCCAACAACGTGTAATAGACGCTGACTTATTCCTACTTAGGCTTCGGGATAGAATACCCCAGAATCGAACTCTGGTGTCTTTTTCTACGGAGAAAAACTAAACCGGCGACGCGTGTTAGGCGTCGGCATATCCTTTTTTAGGATTCAGGATGAAATTCCTCATGCGTGTAAGGCATGGATTTTGGTGTTATTAATAACAACCTGCCACAATGTTGAATATGTGAACGGGTGTTCTTTTTGACGGTTAAGAACTAACCGGCAGCGCGGGTTAAGCGCAGACTTATCCTTGCTTAGGTTTCAGGATAGAATACCCCAGAATCGAACTCTGGTGTCTTTTTCTACGGAAAAAGACCAAACCGGCAGCGCGTGTTAGGCGCAGACTTATCCTTGCTTAGGATTCGGGATAAACTTCCTGTTCCTGTGAGGCACAGATTTTGAGAGTTAAAAAAGGTGGTGTCTTCTCTTGAGGCAAAGACGAACCCAAAATGGGAGAGGAAGAATTTTATATTCTATCTCCCGACACTAAATAAGAAGAATTTTATATTCTATCTTCAGCTAGAAAGGAGACTCGAGGTGGGATCTCCACCCCCAGAATCCGAAAAGATGAAACTAGGAGTGGGACCTCCACTCCGAGAATCGAAAATTTTGGATAATCCTAACTGTCAGAAGGTTTGATTACCGAACTAAAGGTGAATTTCTCGTTTATCGAGAGTGAATTGTTGTTTTGGTCTTTACTGTAGGAAGGTTTGACCAAGCAGGAGTTTGAGGTGATCCTAACTGTAGGAAGGTTTGATCACCCGATTTGAAAGTGGACCTCTCGTTCATGGAGGGAATCGAGAGGAGATTTTGGCTGTGGTCCTAACTGTAGGAAGGTTTGACCAGGTGACAGATCAAAATTCTAAGCATTACATCCGGACTCTAA